ACAAGACAGACTTTAGGATGCTCCACAGTACCATCCGGATTAAATTTAACAGTGCACACCCAACGACCACTAACAATTCGTTTACCAAGAGGTAAAGGACAAGATCCCAAGTTCTATTATGATGAAAAACATCTATCTCCACTTCTATAGTTTTCCTCTAATCCGGATCAAACAACGCATCCTATAAGTGCTTAGGAATAGAAATAGTAGACAGTTGAGAGGTAAAACAAGAGAAGACAGGAGACAAGACATCATATGAAACAAAATGAGCAATGAAATGATTAGTAACACACAAGCGAGTACCTTTTCAAAAAACAATAAGTAAAGAGTCAAAAATATCTGATGGACCAGGATCAAGAGACGACAAGAAAGACGTTATGGGCACCTCAGTCGATGGTCGAGGATGACGAGAGTATACACGAAGTGGAAAAGTAAATGGTGGCACATTAGGCGATGAAAAATTTGACGATAAGGGAAGATGCGGTTGTATAAGGGACGACCCAAAGTTCAGATGCAAAGGTTGAGCAGGTGCCAAAAATACGAAACAGATTCATCAAAAGGACATAAGCAGTGGTGAAGTACCAACGAAAGAAAGGACTATAGTAACAATACCCCTTCTGTGTGCGGGAGTATCTAAGAAAGACGCATTTAGTAACACGAGGGTCAAGTTTATTAAACTCAAGGCCTAAGTTGTGAACATAACAGACACACCCAAAAACCTTAAGGGTTAAGGAAAATAAGGTCTTACTAGGGAACAAGGCAGAATATGGAGTTTGCCTATTTAACACAAAGGATGGCATATGATTAATAAGATAACAAGCAGTGAGAACAGCATCACTCCAAAAACAACAGAAAACATTTGTCTTGAATAATAGCACACGAGTGACTTTCAACAAATGACGGTTCTTGTACTCAGTGACATCATTCTGCTGAGAGGTGTAAGCACATAAAATTTGATGAATAATATCAATTTTACTAAGATAACCTGAAAAGAGATCAGATTCATATTCCCGAACATTATCAGAACATAAAAAACGAATACGAATACGACAATCATACTGAATTTTTATTTCCTTACGAAAGGTCTTAAATATAGAGAATAATTCAAAACGAACTTTCATAAGAAACAACCAAGTCACGTGAGAACAATCATCCACAAATGACACAAAATAAAGATATTTATTAGATGAAATATTATTTATTGGACCTCATACATCAGAATGTACTAACTCAAATAGACTAAACATACAAGTGTTGGCACTAGACTGAAAGGACACACAGTAATACTTACTAAGTTGACAAGCTTCACAAAGACACAGACGACACATAACTAAGACTTGAAACTTAACACTTCAGATTCTAAAGGGAAGGATGACCAAGATGACAATGCTATTAAAAAGGAGATGACGAAGTCTGTAGAGCCTGAGTACGTGAATCAAAGTCAAAGTAATAGAGCCTACCAACTTTATGTCCCGTACCAATCTTCTTCATTGTCTTGAGATCTTAAAATACACAATAAGAGGGATAAATGGTTACGGAACAATTAAGGGAACAAGTAATCTTGCTAATGAAAAGTAAACTAAAAGGAAATTGAGGGACAAATAACATGGAGGATAGGGACATATCAGGACGCAATTGAGTAGTCCCCAAACCAGAAACTTTAGAAGAAACATCATTAACAAGAGTAACACTGTGTGTGGAAGTAATAGACTAGTAAGTAGAAAAGACACCAGACGCACCGATCATGTGGTCAGAAGAACCAAGTCTATGATCCAAGGACTGCGAGTACAAGGCAATAATAAACAAGTGAAAGCGGTACCTGACTGGACAAAAATAACAGTGAAAGAAAATGGAACGGCATGTTGTTGAGACAAAAACTGAGTATACTCCTCTTATGTAAGAGTAACTGACCTAGAGTCAGGTGGCGCCGACCGAGGTGTCATCCTGATAGGAAACCTAACTAATAGCATTGGAAGGTTTGCCATGTAAATTCCAACAGAAATCAACAGTTTACCCTCCATGACCACAGTAAATACAAGAACGAGATCTAGTACAGCCTCCAATACGACGACCTCCACAACCACAACGATTACCACATCCACCCCAATGGCCATCACTGTAGCTAGTAGGAACAAGAAAAGTTGATCGGTTAGTGGAAACACCATGATCAATGCCTGAAGAACCAATAGACAAGGTAGCACATTGTAAACGAGAGAAAACCTCAAGTAAAGAGGGAAGACTGGAGCCACCCAAAATCTGAGAGCAAATAGACTCATATTTAGGTTTCAAACTAACTAGAAACCGAGCATTCAAATCCTCTTGTTGTTTCTATCAAACTGCTGCATCAGTAGTGAACGGATGTTAAAATTTCAATTCTTCACAAACTCCCTAAACATGAGAGTAATAATCCTCAAGACTCATAGTACTCTACTCCAGGCGGAAACACTGTTTGCACACCTCATAAGCATGGATAAAATTATATGTGCCAGAATACACAGTGGTCAAGTGATCCCATATGTCTTTGGCAGTGTTGAGATTAAGTAGGGTACAGCTAATACAGGGTTCAATGCTATTTAATAGTAAAGAGATAATCTGAGCATCCTCTTGTTCCCACTTATCACACCTAGAAGTATTTTTCGTGGATTTAGGAGTCACCAAATATTTTTTAAAACCCTTACCTCTAAGAAATACTTGAACTGATCGTGACCATAAAATATAATTGGTCTCATTGAGCTTAACAGAAGTCATGGGACCAGTAAGGAGAACCACGAGAGAAGAGGTCGATGGCAACAATGGATTGAGTAAGAAAGAGATAATGTCTTGCTTCGGTTCCATAATAGTATAACAACAGTAAAAGTGAGAAGGAACCTTGATAGAGGTTGAATTGAGGAAGATCTGGCTGGACTATTGAACAAGGTAAGAGAAGCTTGTTGGATTGCTAAACTGAGCAAGAAAAGGATTGCTGGAGCGCTGAACCGATGCAAAATTGAGGAAACCGGGCCTGAACCGACTTAGAATAGATAGAATTGGGATTGATCTTCCTTGAACTGACGGAACCGGGCTTGAACCGACTTGGACCAGTAGCAGAACAATTGTTTAGGCTTGGGCGTGGGCTTGGGCTGGGCTTGGGCTTGGGCTTGGGTCCGCATGTTGAGTTGAGAGAATTAATACAATATTAGAGAAAGTCGGAGAGTGGTCAAAAACTTAACATACTTTTCACAAACCACTTGTATTTATAGTTAACTCGTAATCATATAAAAGACATATATACCCTCTAGTGGTATACTTATTACAACTAACCAGTATTTACATAATACTCTTAACAAGACAAATAATACATCATGGAACTATTTTGATAGTTGGTGCTGTAAGTTATTTGAATCAATACGATAAAGTGAAATCAAGATGAAAAATTAAGGATAAACATATAATTTTGAAAACTTGAGGGACCATTAAAATGAAATTAAGAATATAATTACGAGGGCTCATGTTCCAAAAGTCAAAGAACTACCAATTTTAGTTTCAAAAACTACAATCATACTAGTTGAGGTCATACAAAAAGAGTTTAAGGGGTGAGAAATTCAGGAGGAATGTCAAAATTCAAAAATAAACAAATAGAAAACCAAAATACGACACTCAATAACCGATCTTGTCTTTCTTATCGGATACATCTAGAAATCTATGCATATGTGCATTAACTTAACCTAGACAGATCCCAAAACTGTTTGGTATTGGTTTGACAAACACTTTACACGAGTCGATTGATATTTACAACACCTCCACATGTGAGTACTCGTAGAAATCAGACCTTAATTAGGAAATTGCGCTAATGATGCATTAGTATTGTGAGTTTTATCTTTTCATATGCTTTCGAGTGATGTGTTAAATGATGAAATGAAGATGAAATTAAGAATTGATGAATTTAATGTGATTTTCAAGTTTAATGAATAATTTTCATAATTCTACTTGAAAATTCCATTGTATTTAGACTACATTTCATCTACGCAAGGATCTTAATTTCAACCTCTTTGATTCGATACACTCATACATGTTTATAGTCAAGGGCGGCTCAAGCCAATTTGAGGCCTAAAGCGGAAATATTAAATAGAGGCCTTTTTATTTTTAATATTATTTTAAAAAAAATTAATTTATTTTTAATTTTCTATGTGAGAGAGAGACAAAAGAAAGATGTGTTAATATTGTAGATAAAGAAATTTCAATTTTTTTTTACCACAAAGAGAGAGAGAGAATGTTTAATTTCAATTTTTGTTTTTTTTTTTGTTTTTTATTTTTTTTTTTTACGGCAGAGAGAGAGAGAGAGAGAGAAAGTGGGTGGGAGTAAATATGAGTTGACTTTTGAGTATTTTTTTAATTTCTAAGTTTTTAATGTTATGAATTGGATTATAGGCTCAAATTATTGCAATAAAAATTTTGATTAGATTTAATTTTTTGGGACTTTTTTGTAGGGCTTAAAATTTAATGGATTTAATTTTTTTTGTGAGTTAGTGATGTACTTAAAATTATGGGGCCTTCTAAAAATTTGGGGCCTAAAGCCCATGCTTTTTTTTTCCATACTATTGGGCCGGCCCTGTTTATAATTTGTGAGTAGCTTTTTTTGAGTTGTACGAGATGCATTTGAGACCAAATGTATAGAGGCAGCGGGAGCCAAACCAATCAAGTGACCACTTGATTGCTCGAGCGATCCTCGTCAGAAACGTGCCTGACTGTTTAAATTCGAGAGTTTCATTTCAAAACTCATTTCCTTTCCCTTTAAACTTGGAAAATATCCCACCAAACTTGTACCCACATTCTCAAATTCACTCGACACACAGCCTAATTCGATTTTAAATTGATATTCAGATTACCCTATAGGATTTTAGTGTTTTCACCCATTGATTTTAAGAATCGTGCCTCCTCGAGCTGCAAAGCAAGCAAAGGCCACGCCGGGCCAGGTAGCAAACTAATTTCAAACACGAGAGCATAAGACACTCTACCAAGTCATGGTTGAGACACAAGTTGTCTTCACTGGGGCAAGTATTTCTACTATACCTCAAAACTTACACATCCGAGATACACCCCAATGGAAAGTTCTTCATTACACATGTTCGAGGTATAATGTTTGAGTTCTCTTCTAATGATTTGGGACTCCCACAAGTACCCACTGAAGCATATAGGACTAGAACTATAGCATATTAGTCCTCCTTGTCATGGGTTGCTTCAGAGCTTAATGATGTTCATGATCATTGGACTACTAGGACCTTCTACAAAAAGAATTTCACTCGCGACTACCAGCTCCAAAATCACATAGTGGGATCCAACTTTTACCCAAAGACCCACATCTCAATCTTTTCAATTATTCAAGCACACTTTCTACAATTTATTAGGATAGAAGTTGAGATTGATTTGTCTGCTTTGATAGTAGGAGTTATTCAGAGAGCATTGTAGAGTAACATATTGTCTGATGCTTTACCCTTTGGCTCACTAATCACGAGGATTTGTTTGGTGAATGATGTTATAGCCCTAGATACAACTCAGCTCAAGCCACCCATGAAGCCAGTTTGGTAGCACCACTGTGACACAGTCTTTCATACGGTAGATTGTGATCTGCTCCAGATGAGGTTGAGGGAGATGATGTTCTACCTGAGGATCCTATTCCACTGTTTGTAGAGGGTCCTTCATCTTCGACTGCCCTACCAACTACCTGGACTTCTATTGATACTAGCCAAAGTATCTCATCTTCACCATCGTCCACTCAGGCTGACCCAAGACCTAGTACCTCTACAGCTCCAACTCCGGATTACATGTCGGAGCTCTTAGCTGCTATCTCAGGTTTGAGTACTATATGGATAAGCAGTTCAGTCTTTACTCATAAGAGATTGGATGCTATTAATTCGAGAGTGACCAGCATAGAACAAGGTCAGGAGAAGTCCGTTGGGACTATTGGAGGTCAAATGACATGTCCGCAAGCTATGGTAAGCTCTTACCCATTCCATTTGAGATTGATTTGAAGGGTAAGCACATTGTGTTCAGCAGTGATGATGAGGATGAGGATAATGCTCAAGGTGATGATCATGAGGATCGTGGTGATGATGCCCCAGCACACGATGTCGCTGCTGCTTAATTGCATAGCTTATTAGGATACTTAGGCTTATGACACATGGGAGTTTGCAAGCATACTCTGTATGAGTATTCTTCTGTATGTAATTCTATTTTCTTTTGTTCATGTGATATACATCTTTATCCATTACTCTTTTTGCTTATCAATTAGCTGTTAATGTTCATCGACTTGTTTTACCCTTGTTACTCTGCTTTTCCTTTATAGTAGTGTTTTTTGGCATTTTCTGACAAAAAGGTGGAGAGAATTTGGGATATGGGGAGAGAAATATTGATGAAAGCCAGCATTAATTAACATAATTTATTTATTAGATTTTACTTCGTTAGTTTTATTTGTTTATTTTAGCACTAATGGGGAGAACTAGTACTTTGGACTTAATTGTCCTATCTATTGGTTCTTGAGAATAGGTGTGTTTACTTTGTACATTTTGTATACTTTCTGTTCTTATTGCTCTTGGTGCTTTATTTGATCTTTCACTAACATTTACCTATGATTGTGATTTATAGTTCTTATACTCTATATGTTTCCCGATATATTTTGTTTAGTAGTGATTCCGCAGGACTATATTGACTCAAGCATAAATCATGAAATTAGTCTTGAACATTGTTTTTGAGACACCGACTTTGTACTAAAGTTGGGAAGTTAGGTTTATGATTTGATTTTGTTCGAAGGTTTCTCGAGTTGTAATCTTTTCTTTTTATTCTTGTATGTTTTGTCATGGCATTACCAAAAGCAAAGATTGTTAGAAAATTGATGTATTGGCAAAATTTTGTGAGTCACGTGTAATGTGTCTCAACTAAGTCCAAAGGTTATGATAATTATGAAGTTGAAAATCAAAGCAAGAGGAGAAGAAGTGCAAGCTTCATCGCTACATTCAAAAGACTTCTTGAAATTGATCTAGTTTAGGTGAGCTCAGAGGCCTTAGACACCTTGATAAGCATAGTTTGTTTTAGACTCAGTTTCAAAATTGGGGTTAGTAAGTTTGAATTAAATCCACAACATGACTCTTATTGTTATTAAAAAATATTTTTAAAGCTTGAAAAGAAGGTTTTGAAACTCTGTAAGTGTCATGGTATAGAATCTTAATTAGTAACATCCCTTGGTACTCAATAATATTTAGCCTTAATTTTTTTTTTTTTTGGGTAAATATTTAGACTTGAGTTTGTTCGGAAATACCAGTAAGCAATGATCAAATTATCGTTTCAAAACGGTCAAAACCTCCAAAACGTTTCCGTTTCCCAGGACACCGAAACGAAACAGTGATGAAATCGAAATTTTGATATTTCGAGGTATTCCATAATGTTTTTAAATGTATTATAATATTTCAATACATTTGCACAATTATTTTAAAATATTTCAAGATATTTCAAGATACTTTGATATATTTCCATCAATGTTTTAAAAAAATAATTCTTAAATTTTTTATTTTTTTCATTAAATTTTCGAAAGGGGTCGAAACGTTTCGAAACACGAAACTTTCGTTTCCTAGATGACCGAAATAATACACCGAAACAATATTTTGATCCTTGCCAGTAGGCATTCCTAACTTGTCGCTAGCTTGGCACGAGTGGTTCTAAGTCAGAAATTGAAGTGCGCAGAAATTTCAGAGGTTCTAGTCGCTCAACATCGAGCAGTCCTTCCGGATAATTTTGTCTCACATTTTTCCTGACGAAGGCGCTCGATGACTGCTGGCCTGGCGAGGGGTCCATCGGAAATCAATTTTTTAAAAGTCTCCTATTTTCACTTTAATTCCACTCCTACATACATGGGAAGTGCTTTTATGACCATAATGGTTTTGAGAGAGCTAAAAATTTAAAGAAAACTCTGGAAGAAAAACCCTAGCCTCCCAAATCAAAAATGGCACGAATCTACTTTGTCGATCTAGAGCTTTTCATAGTTAGTTTAGAAACTAGATAAAACCCTATAGAACCAACTAAACCTTCAAAAATCATATATCATTGGTGGATTTCAAAGATTGTAGAAGGATTCCAAAAGTTAAAAGAGGGAAGATTCCTTAGCTAATCGTGACTTTGGTTAGTGGAAATAATCACAAAACATTCAAGAGCTTGTGATCAACTTCTAGGTGAAGTTCAAGATGAGAACGCGTCTAGCCTAAGGAAACTGGTTAAGGTAAAGTTGTAAGTCCTGAAACCTACTTTAAAACTTAGTGGATTAATTTAGCTTGACTACGTCACTTGATCTTTTACCCGGCAAGGTTTTTCAAGTAAAAATTCCCGAGTTGTGATTGTTGATTGCTATTTTACATTTTTTTACATGCAATTTTTTATTGGTTTATTGTGTTTAATTAAGGGGTGTGCATATAGTTGAATAGGTTAATTTGAATTGGGCATTGATTTCAGCATTAAGTGCAATTAAAGCTATTCAGTCCCCTAGACTATAACTTTCGTCTGATTTTTTTTTTTTCATTTTTTTTTTTTGAGAGAAAAAAGGGATTTGAACCCTTCACCTCAAGAAGGCATAGCCTTCACAAGGTACGAAGTACTCTCAATGTTTTTTATAGTCGTCATATCTCAAAGAAATTCTAACAAAATGAAAAACACTTTCCAAAAAACAAAAATGAAAAATAAAGTAATTTCTTCAAACCTAAAAACTATGCAACAAGAAACCCTTTCATATGCTACAAACCATCCTCCTAGTTAACAAGGAGTTGAAGCTAAAAAAAGGGCGACTCTTTTCTAATGCTATGCAAAGCACAAGGGAGCCATTTGATATTCATGATATGTCCACTGCCCAATAAACGCATTAAGTAGTTTCAGACCAATTTAATACTTTAGATGCTCTCTAACACAAGGGTTTATAATCTTAATTGAAACACACTTGGGTTACGGCAATAAAATTCATGCAGTGAAATACATCATGTCATCCTAGTCTACAAGAACTCTTCCTAGTAAGCAAGCAGCACAAGTGCACAAGGTGGACATTGCTCTTCTTTTTTTCTATCTCTAAATAAAGCAATAGAAAATACTGTAGAAGGGAAAACGTAATATGCAGGTGACACCTTGAAGTACATGTAAGCAACCAAACATCAATGAGAGGTTAAATAAATGAAAGTTTGGAGATATTATGCAGTAATAGAAGAGGTTTAGTTTAGATAGGCATCTTGAAAACCCCTTGTCATAATTGGACTTCACTTGACTGTCCACGACTCCATTGCGTCAGCTTGGAGTAAAAGTTTTGTACAAATGTATCACCATGCTATTAAGCATTTTGATTTAAGTTTTTTTCTTTCTAAGAGGTGGAACAGAATTATCCGATTGAAGCATAATGATCATATGTCTGTAATCCATTGAATGTCCATGATAGGTCTCATTCTTCTACCCTTTCCGAAAGTCGATGACTATTCACAACTATTACCTTGACACAAAAGAGAGTTTGACCCAATGCTTTATTTCTATCCTCGTTGATTCTAATTCAACATTAGAAGTATATTGATTTTTCCTCACTAACCCAATACTTTTGCCCAGTAAATATTGTATATCTAATTTCATCCATAAATCTATTTTCTTCCATATGAATTCTAGTCTCAATAAGAATGCCAGTTCTCATTGTTCCATATATTATTACATGAATATACCCCACACCAATTTGTTATGTGTGGATGATGAGATTTCATTGATACAGAGTCAATTCCAATAGACTTATTTGGTGGTCCCATTGGCAACACAATGACAAAAGAATACCAGAAGAGGCCTTACCCATTCCACCGATTATAAATCATGACCAAGACAACCGGGACCAGTAGTCTTGGCTGCCCAATTGCTCCCCTGCAATAAGACCTAAAGTCAGCTTATCCAATGGAATAAACCAGTAAAATTTGCTTCCACTGTAAAAGGCCGCAAAGATCTAAAATGTATACATGTTATAAGCTCTTTCTCCCCCCCCCCCCCTTTCTCTCTGTTGTTTTGTTTAGCATAGAATTGGTTTGGGTGGGTATTATTGTATTTTATTTATTTACTTATTTCCAAAATAGGATCAAAAGAATAAGCTTCAAGCAATTGTAAAGGGGAGGGAAATTGTCAGACAAGCATGGAAATTTTCCTCAACAAATTTATAGGTTGCGCAAATCGCCTGATGCATGTCAAAAGGAGGGGCTGCATGTCAGTTGTTCTAGCAAAGCCACCTTTCAAAACATGTGTTCTCCAAAAGACATTAAGCAACTGCTTCTATGCGTCTTTGATTATCAAGAGTTACATATATCATCAAATTGCATCTTCCTCAAAGGCAACAAAAATCTAAGTATCAGTCACAAATTATAGGTTTGTCATGACAAGCAAGCATTAAAACAAGGAAAAAAGTGGCAGGAGATAAATGATATTGTCAATGTCCAAGTTTTATTTCCCAGCTAGCCTTTTTCATATAGTAATCATCTATTCATCTGAAGTGTCTGTTCCATTCATTAACATAATTTGATATTTTTCTTTCTTCACTCTCCCATTTGATGTCACTCCAAGTGCCAGGTTTTTTTTTTTTGGCACCTATTTCTTTCACAAGAACATGGGATCCCTGGGAGGCCTAAAGAGTTTCTAAAGTAAAGATCTTGTTGAAAATTGAATTTGTTGAAGTATAAATTCCTAAATTACACCCTCTGTGAAAGCTTAAGCTTTTGAAGTAGATAGTCGTTTAATATAGTATCAGAACAGGAAGTCCTATGTTTGAATCTCGCCGTCACCCTAATGATTAAAAAATTTTCATGTGCTAGACCCAAAAATTAGTTTGCACATGAAGGGGCGTGTTGAAGTATAAATACTTAAGTTACACCCTCTCTGAAAGCTTAAGTTTTTAGAGTACATGGTTGTTTAACAAGTTGGAGCAAATTACTGATAGATTGTCTTGCACAGATATGTCCTTCCAATAAAGCTGATTTTTTTTGCA